GCCAGTGCGGGTTCAACTTCTGAGCCTCCGCTGGCTGGACCCCAAGCCCCTCGCGGACCCTCCAATTCTGTTGCCTTTTTTTTTTTTTTCACTCACAAATGGAGAACTTTATTATAAGGAGTCACGGGATTGGAATACTGTCTGTTTCTATACTGGTGGGATCTTTTCAGATTTTACTTAGCATAGTGACTACACCATTCTTGAGGCAGCTCTCGCTAGGTGTGGCATTGAAGATGACACCGTGAACAGAACTTAATAATTTAAAAATTGGCATTTACTACCATCCAATGCTAATTTGACATAGACATAGTAAGAAAACAATGTTTGGGTTTAAATTTCGCAAACTAAAAGTCCTTCATTAATACCAGCAACGTGATTATGGGCATATGAGGGAAATGAGTTCCTCCTGTCTGCAACATTCCATTCCCTTGGCGCCCCTCCCTCTTCGTGCCTGCAGAAGTCTCCAGTTTTCCAGGGAGGGGTGCAGTGTCCCCCCGCTAGGCACCTGTCTCGGTCCAGGGCAGTTGCTTATTAACCTGTCTCCCGGACTACACTGTGGACTTTGGGAGGGCACCACAGGGACCCTGTACTGACCACCTGTGCCCAGCCGTAGCCCCACATCTGGCCCAAAGTCAACACTCAATCAACACATGGAATGAAGGAAAGAAGGAAGGCGATGTTCTTAAAGACAGGGACTCTGGACAGGAAAAACAGGATTTTAGGGAGTGGAGTGAAGGTTGTCCAAGTTCGAGTTGTCTCCTAAGAAAGACAAAGTTGTGCTCCACACCCACCTGAGCTTGGCCTGAGAGCTCAGTGCTGAGAAAGGGGGAGGGGGCGGCACAGCCTCCCAGGGGCCAGGAAGGCAGGGGGCCCGGAGGCCGCCCCACAAACACATTTGTCCAGTGGGGGAAAGGCAGAGGCAGGCTTAACCAGCACTCCAGCGGCCTGAGCCTCTGTGGAGCCCGCATAGTTCCAGCCATCCAACCTCAGCTTGTGGAATGCGGGTCCTGCGTGAAGAGAGTGAAATAGGTTCCCTTTCCATTTTGCCGTCAAGGTGAGACAATTGCTTTACTTACCTGGGTCTGTTTCCTTATCTGCCCAAGGAAGGTGTGGCCCATTTCCAAGTTCTGTTCCCGGGGACACTGGGCAGCTGTAAGTCAGTTGCGTATCCTTGGGCACCACCATACTTCTGCAGCTAGCCTTGGCGATCACAGTCCTCCCCTTGAGTACTGGTTTGCTAGTGTGAAGCCAAAGCTGAGAATGTGGTTTCCTAACTCTTCCCAGTACTCCTGGCACCGGCACCTCATCTGTACCTTAGTAAAGGGGCATAATACCCCTCTAGTTGTAGAGGACCAAGGCCAGGGACCAACAGGACCCCCCAAATACCAGTTCTCTCCTGCCTCTGATTACAAGCCTATCCCGTCCTCATTCTTTCATTGAGCTATGGGTGCTTACCGAGTGGGTTTCAAGCTCTTTGACAACCACTAGGCATCAGAGTAGGCAGAGTCCATAGAGATAGTGCCTCCTGAAGAGGAAACAGAGACCCAGAAAAATCGGAGCCTTGCTCAAGACCACAGCTAGTGAACACCAAAGCCCTTCCCTGCACTCTCCCCAAGCACAGCAGGCCCTCGAAGGGACAGGCGGGCTGGTTCCTCGATTCTTCCTCTGTCCCCAGGAAAGTGAAGGCCATGGCCTTGCACCTCCTCCTCTCCTTCCCCAGGAGCTGAAATCCCAGAGGACAGAGTCTGCATGTGAGCAACTGCCTCTCCCCTCCTAGGCTCCTAGGAGCTACCATGCAACACCTCACCCCGTGACCACCTTGTTTCCTAACATCTGCACTGTCCTAAACCTGCCAGGAACCTTCACATTTTATTCACCTTGGCCTTCTCCCCAGACCTCACACCGGCATCTTCCCACTGCACAGGAAAGCCAAGATCAAGTCTACCTCCAGTGCCCGGTCTACAGCTACAGCAACACTGGACAGTGCCTCCCTCGGTCCAGAGGCCTCTGGCTATGAAGTAATATCTGTGACTCCTACAATCTCCATTCACATCAACCCAGAGAGCAGTAGAGCTGCTTCAGCCGAAGCCTGGCCATGGTCCTCATCTGCCAGAGGTCTGGTTTGACTCAGACACTTCCTAACAGTAGGCCTAACAACAACAACAAAATGTCTAGCCAGCTCTTTAGCAGCCCCCTGCTTCACAAGCCTTTCCAAGTCACCCACCTTCCCCCACCCAGCAGAGCCAGGCGACATGGTCGCTGCCTGAATTGCAACAGCAGTGACCCCAGCTTACAGTTCACCCTCAGCCTTCCTGAAGGTACCGTCTTGCCCAGGGAGAACACTTGGAGCCTTATTAAGACATTTCTCCTCTTCTCCCCTTAGCCCACCAGGGCCAGATCCCAAAACCCATCCTAACAGTTTGCAAACTAATTCACTACAAGGAAGCTGGTTTTGATGCTAGGCAGGGAACAAAACCAGCCTTCCCCTTCACCCTGCTGGAGTGTGAAACTCGTGAGCTTCCCCCCACCTCACACCTGTAGCCCCAGCATCGAGCGCTAACCCAGCGCATGCCCACTCAGCATGTTTTTGAATGAACTTCTTGAAGTCTCTGCTCTTAAAAGCCACAGCACTTAAGAGGGTAGGCCTCCTGTACACAGGAAACTTGTACGGGATCTTATGGGAACATCCCTGCAGAAGAATCACTCCAGCCCTCGGGTCAGGGGAGGGATCTCAGGGGAAGATCTCCTGAGAATGAATGAACTGCTTCCATGGAATCCCTGCTCTCCAGTAACCCGTGAGGCCCAGAACCGTCAACCCTTCATTCAGGATGAAACCCTCTACACGTGTGGGAATGCCGGCTTCATCCAGCACATATACGGATACCTCTTGTCAAGCACAAGGCAACTTGGTACATGGAACACCTTGCCACCCACCTATGGTTTCCAAACCTGGGCCTCCCCGCTGCTGTGATGAGGCAGGTCACCGGATGGATGCAGAGAGGGCTGTGAACAGGGGTCTGGCTCTCAGGGGTCTGGGGGCAGATGATTGAAAGCCATTGCAATGTGCTTTGGGTTAGCAGAGGTGACCTTGAAAACACAGGCGGGCAGCAGGGAACTGTGGTCTGCAGACACTTGGAGCTCTGCCCGGGGAGACAAGAGCCCTATGCTAGTCCCTTCAAACAGACCTGCTGGGTGTGCTCCTCGCCTTCCCCTCCAGGTGCAAGGCTTAGGAAACGCCATTGTCCAGGGCAGCTGAGAACCGGAGTGAAGCATGGTGTTTTGGGTTGATAAGTGAGCCCAGATGGCAAATGAAGAAACAGACTCATAGAAACGGAGAGCTGGGGGTTCCCAGAGGTGTGTGGGGGCACTGGGTGAAAGAGGTGAAGGGACTAAGAAGCACAAATGGATAGTTAGAAAATAGTCACAGGGATGTAAATACAGCATAGGCTACCTAGTCAGTAATATTGTGATAGCTACGTGTAGTCCTGGAAATACTAGTACTGAGGGGAATACTAGGTAAAGTATTAAGCTGTACACCTGAAACCAATACTGTACATTAAAAAAAAGGCAGAGGGGGGGATGGCAGTCTGATTGACAGACTAAGGAGGGCCAGCTGCAGCCCACAATGGCCATCTGGCTTTATCTGTTGAACTTCAAAGAGCGGTATTGTCCCTTGTCCTTACTTATCATCTGTAACTATTTGGAGAAGGTGTGTGTGGAAGGCAGGCCTACCAAGAGCTGACGGGCAGCCTCGCCTGTGCCTCTGCCAATGCCCTCAGCAGAGGAGAGGATTGGAGGCTTCGTTTTACCGCAATGATGAAAGGAAGCATCTAGCTGGTCCAACATGCGTCAATCCGGCTGCCCGTTAAGATCAACTGGGAAGCATTTATAAAATTACAGATAATTGGACTTTACCCCAGACCAGTTAACCAATCTCTGAACAGTTTGTTTTTGTTTTTACAGCTTTCCAGGTAAATCTGTGCTGTTAAGGTTAAGAAAACCTCGGTATTAAACTAATGAAGCTCCAAAAATTCCAAGTTGACCAAAATACAGCTTCTTGAACTGGACCGTGGACAGAGAGGCCTGCTCTCACAGCACGCAGGCCGAGCATCCCTTCAGGGTGTGGCCCACACCAGGTGCACTGCTGCCCGCCCAGGGCACTGACTTGGTTTGCTTATCATTTTCCCAAGAGACACCTGTCGTTTTCCCAGGGACCAAGAGCTAGACCAGGGGTGGGCAAACTTTTTGACTCAAGGGCCACAATAGGTTCTTAAACTGGACCAGAGGGCCGGAACAAAAGCATGGATGGAGTGTTTGTGTGAACTAATATAAATTCAAAGTAAACATCATTACATAAAAGGGTACGGTCTTTTTTTTTTTTTAATTTTATTCATTTCAAACGGGCCGGATCCGGCCCGCGGGCCGTAGTTTGCCCACGGCTGAGCTAGACCGTGGTTCTTCAACCTAGAAGAGTCAGGCTTGGGAAGGAACGCTGTGGTCAAGTACTGACCGCCTCCCTGCAGGACAGGGCCCAGCATTCGCTGGCTCTGCTCAGCAGGGCAAGGGCTTGTGGGCACTCACACCAGGAGGCAGTCTTGGCCATGACAAGAAAACAAGGTGTTCTTCATGCTTGCTTTTCTTTTCCTTGTGAATCCCTTCCTACAAACTTCTGTCTCGTTGTTTCTACTACGAGGCTGGGCAGAGACTAGCAAAAAAATACGTCAAGCAAAAGGCCGGTGTTAGCTGATAAGCTGCATTCAGTATTATCAGTAGCCATTAAGTTACATTTCTGAGAACGGGGGGGGAAGAAAATACTTTGCTAGGTGATTCAGGAATACATTTTTAAGAAATAGATTAGCGGTAAGACCTAAGACTGCCTCCCTTTCTCCGTCACGACCTTCCCCTGCCCACAGCCAAAATTTCCCACAGACTGGTTCTCACAAGGAATGAGACCCAGATCTTTGGAAACCGATCCCAATGGTGCAACATGAACACATTCCCACCATCTCAAAGCCGAGTCAGTGCAGAAGTGCTGCGATGGTTTACTGGTTAGAATGGGAGGCCTATTTAGACATCAGCCAACCCCGGGATGATGTGATCCCCCTGAACATTCTAACACGGGAGTCGGCAAACGTTTTCTGTAAAGAACCAGATAGTAAATACTGTAGGATTGTGGACCATGAAGACCCCTGTCCCAACTACTCAACCTGCCCACTGTAGTCCAAAAGCAGCCCCAGACACTGTGTATGGGTCTGTGTTCCAATGCAATTTTACCTGCAAAAAGACGCAGGCTGGGTTTGGCGGTTTGCTGACCCCTGTCCTACCAGAAACTCTATTTAACAAATCGACTTGCATTGGTGAACACAGCTTCCATAGAGTGACCTGGCACATAATGGTGACAAATAAAGAATAAAGAATGGCACGGTGAAAGACTGACATGGATTTAATGACACATATTCCATACCGGCTGCTTGAACACCAGAATGCTGTCCAGGGAGCCATCATTAAATAAAACCACCGGGGAAAATAAGGCAATTCTCACATACACAAGCACACACACAAAACCAGTTACTTTTAGGGTCATTAAATTATTCACTATTTGAACAATCAGCTGTAAAGTAACATCACAGTGAAGGGAGGGGCGCACAAACTTCAGAAGCTCAGTTCCGATGGTCTGTGAACACAGGTTCTTCATTTGCACTTTTTCACATACGGACAGCCACGCGGCTCAAGGGGTTCACCAGTCATCTCCTTCCAACTCGGAGCTCCCGATGGCAACAAGCCATTTCACCTGTTTACTCTGCACCGGATTCTGCTCAGCAAAGCGCAGCCTGCACTGGACCATACTCCCAGGAAGCAAATGATACACTTGCCTCCAGCTTCCGTAATGAGCTGGTAGACGGAGTCTTCCGATTAACATTTGTAAGGGTGAACCACAGGAAACAGGGTTTGCTTGAGAAACATTATTATTCTAAAAGTAAATCCAAGAAACCAACCCCTGAACACATTTCATTTCACTCAATGCAGATATGTTCCCTGAAGAATTGTAAGAAAAATGGAATCACATTTGCGATGCACTGTCAGAGTGGGTGCTGATGGTTGGTCTGCTCGCGGAGGGGACCCGGGAGCAGTAGCTGTCTCTTCTTAGCCACGGGAACAGAAAGAACAAGAGAGGTCAATGAACCCCAAAGATTCCCACTGCCTCTAAATTACATTAACTTCCATCTCCTCTCCCCCTTGAAGCCTTTCTCAAAAGCTGCCAACAGGTAACGTAATTGACGTGGACCCGACTGTGCAAATGGCAGCAAAAGGCCAAGTAACCCATAAAGTGGAGAGTCAACCCATGAAAAAGCAAACGTTTGATGCGATTTCATAGGCACAGACTTGAGAGAACCTAAAACAGCCAGGAGAGGTAGATGTGCATGGAAAAAGGAACAAGATTACCTACAAATGGGCCATATTATTTTCAGGTGAGTCTCATACACTTCATAGACCATACAATTCAGAATAAATAACGGACACTTGCTTTGCTCGTATTACTCTCAACTAAAAGAAAATTTTAAAAGAACAATCCGTGTCTTCCAAAACTATATTTTGAAAATCTAGTTGCATTTGTGAATAACAATCCCCTGATTAAGAGGGCAAGATCAACAAGCATCACACAAGCCCAGAATTCTCAGGATTCTTTTAAAAAGGTGTTTTTATAATGACATGAACATGCTTCCCTACAGCCCCCCAAGGAGGGTCTTTGCTAGAATACAACTAATCAAGTATAAATGACCGGCATCCCCAGAAAATTTGCTGAATTGTAAAAACAACCTTGTGGTTGTCTTCCCTTCACGTGTATCCAACAGTTTGTGAAGATGCTTCCGTGAAAAGTACAGGGTACCCATCGCTAGTGAGAAAACCAGGCTGCTTCCCACCACTCTGACTTCTAGAGGCTAACCCAGGGGAGGGGCTCAGCCCAGGGAACTGAAATCTACACCAGAGTCATCTAACCACACCCCCCCAGGACATGTAACATGCCGAGGACACCCTACTGATGCGACAAAGACCAGCTTTGTCAGTGAGGACATCTGTGGCCCTTCCAGGCTACCCTTCAGTGTCCCGTCACGCATACGCATGTTCAGTGTCCTTGTTTCGTTATATAAATCACTACGGTAAGTCTTCCTAGCAGCTGAGAGCACAAAGGTCAGACCACAGCTGTCCACACTGTCACAGCCTCTCCTCAGAGCAGCCTTCGGCACTCTTGTCCCCAGGCCCTCCCCAAGACAGGGGCCATAACACTGATCCACCTCACAGAGATTTGAGGAGCAACTGACAATCATTAAAAAGCATAAAGCACTTTACAAATATAAAAGTGCTAGTTTGGCATTTGTAGAACCACCAGAAAACATTCACTGCTTGTGCTACTTGGCAGTTTTGCATTTACACTTTTCCCTGCTTGTGCCCTCCTTGTATAAAGCCTGGAGCTTTCTACTGTGCTTTCGTGTAAAAAAAAAGTTTCTACTCAGACGGGAGCCCAGGTCAACAGGAGTGAAGGTGGGGGTTCCGTGAGCTCCCCCATCACTACAGGGGAGGGGGGTACAAAGCAAATGCAAATGAGACAAAGGAGCCTTGCACCCCAACATGTGAATTTTGCAAAGCTCTTGAGCAGGTTGACTTTTGTAGCAGGTCACGGGGCCACTGTGGATGGTCTGAGGTTCACTTGAAATAAGCACCCAGCTGACCCGGGAAAGGGAAAGGCGCCCAGAGCTGGGATGGTTCCATGTCCCTGCAGGTAGAAGGTCACGAGTGAGACCTGAAAGAAACACGGAGCCAGGCGCACACCTGGCCCTGGGGGCAGGGCCTGCTCACCACAGACCACCTTGGCCCAGCACGAAACCCGGATGTTTCAAAGGAAACCGCAAAGAACCAGATTCCCTAGATCTGAAAACCAGTTATGAGTGAATGTCTGAATTTCACCTTTGAAATGAGGGTGTGCAGCTTTTCTGCCCAGCTTCCCCTGGATGCCCCGAAACAGCAGCTAACTGTGGCTCAGACAGGAGAGCGTCCGGTATACCCTCCCGCAGGATGGCAGGGTTCCTCTGCTTTTCGTGGGACTCGAGCTGATGGGGGGCGGGAGGGCAGGGCAAATGGTGGCTTCACACCTGGTACAACCAGGATAGAATTATTCACACCCACCTTTTCTTTTACCCCATGACCCTCACTCCAACCACAGGCTCTCCTGATTCCCACAGAACATCGCAGCCCAACCTACTCTGTCTGCCACCCTGTCCCCCCCGCACCCGAACCCCATTTCCTCAGGGTCCTCAAAGTGCCCGCTTAGCTCCTAGAGTGTTGGAGGGAATCGGCACGCCCAAGCACATCTCCAAAACATTCCTTCGTTGTCCCCAAAACGTAGCACCAAAAGAACACCTCTTAACGCTCCCCTCAGGGCCCCCTAACACCAAAAGCACCCCCGTCACTCTCAGATTGTCCCTCCCGCCCTTCCCATGCCTTTCTGCAGGGCCTGCCCCCGGGATACTTACACCCCGCCAGCTCCCGCGAGCGCAGCCCCCTGCGCCCGGCCCTAGCACAGGTGCAGCTTCTGGTGCTGCGCCAGGTGCGTCTTGTAGCGGAAGCCCTTGCCGCAGCCCGCGCACTTGTGCGGCTTGTTGCCCGTGTGGATGCGGCGGTGGCGGATGAGGTGCGAGCTCTGGATGAAGCTCTTGCCGCACTCGATGCACGTGTAGGGCTTCTCGCCCGTGTGCGTGCGCTGGTGCTGCGTGAGCGTGGAGAAGTCGCTGAAGCGCTTCTCGCACTGGCCGCAGCGGAAGGGCTTCTCGCCCGTGTGCACGCGCAGGTGGTTGACCAGGTGCGAGTTGCGGCCGAAGCCCTTGCCGCACT